TGAGGATTTTCCAGGAAAGACATCCCACACAGTGCCCCGGGGGTGGTTTCCTCCAGCAAGCTCTCCGGTCCTTTTTGTGGTTGCTTGGCAACCAGGGTAGGGAGGAGGAGGAAGATGCGAGAGCATGGAGACACCTGAAGAAACACTCTCTGTAGCAAACCAGTTGGCCAAATCAGCTTTTGGTTCTCCTGAGCTACTCCATTGCTATAGCCCTGGTCCTCTGTGATGGTCCTTTTGAGATAATTCTCTGCTAAAGGTGAGGATTATGATCCTGCTATAACTTTGCATGAGTTTTGCCCTATTATGAATCCTTTGGCATTGTGAGATTTATTCTTCTTGAATAGGAATAAGTGAGGTAAGAAACAAGATCTGGTCAGTGCACAAGTGATGGCTTAGCTGCACCTTGCAACAGCATCCCTTGGCTTAAAGAAGCTACAGAAGAATTCAGGTCAGCCCTCCCTTCCGAATGTGATGTTCAGCCTCAGATTTTGTACCAGATGTTCTCCCTGGTTGTCAAAAGCCCCATAAACTCTGCAAGATGAAGTAGTTTTTTCCAGTTCAAGAAAGCAAAGAAACAAAAGCACATATTGCCAGTTCCAGCTCCATATGTCCAGTATAGGATTTTTAGTTTGGATGAAAATCTTAAAGGAAACAGGAATGTAAGAGAAATAAGTCAAAGCTGTGTTTTGTGAGTTGCAATCTACTGACATGAATTTCATTTTCTAATGGTTGTCTTGGTTGTTGGTCCTGTTGGACTTTGACCCAATGTTACTGGAGCCTCTACATAATGGAATCATTTCTGCAGGAAGTACAATGGTTGTCTCCCTTCTGAAGAACTGATAAGCTCTTGATATAGTAAGTTCCTGCCCTGAGAAGGACCCAGAGATGAGTCTCTGGTTTGCCTTGTTCAGATTTGGGCCCTCTGTTTCCTTTATCCTAAATGAATGTCATAATGTTTCAGATATTGTCTGTGTCAACAGGGGATTAGGGTATGTCTCTCTTCTAACCGTAGGGAGGTACAAAATTGTCCCAGGAATAAACAAGAATGTTCTTCTCACATTGGAGACTTCCACAACCTAGGAACAGTGTTTTGCAAAGTATGGCAGGTGATCTGGGGAAGCAGCAGTATACTTGTATTTTCAAAGCTGATTAGTACTAAAAAGACTCTGTCAAAAAAATAAATATATAAATAAAATAAAGTAAAATTATATTTGTGTTTTCTTGCATCAGAAAAAAATATAGTTGGATAAAGTACACCTTTCTAAGACACCATATTGCTATGATGCTTGAGATGGCAAGAAATTGCAATGAATGAACTTGCTATAGAAATATGTTGCTAATGTAAGTAAAGTAGTTACTGTTTTTTTTCTGGATTAAGAAGTGATAGTTGGAAAGTTTCAAAAAGTTCACTGTAATCACAAGTCACAGTTGCTGAAGAATGAAAAATTCTTCTAGTTAGGAGTATGTGTGGGACACTGAAACATATTTTCAATAGTTTGACAATATGCTTCTTATGGAGACAACCATACATGTAAGCAGTAGCACTGAATCCCCAGCAGAATGCCTCAATCTGAGTAGGTAAAATTCAGCTTGTCCCAAACACTTCAGAAAACAGCATCCCAGACTCTGCGAAGGAGCCCATTGCTGTCCTGTTATTTCTCAGATTTATTTCTGTGGAACCTGCCATATGAATGCCTCTGCTGCTGTTACACCATCCCAAGAGCATGTTTGCCAAGCTGACAGTTGCTAAAGAGGCTCTCACAATATATTCAGCATGAAAAAATACTCACTCCAACCTCTGATCTCTGCCTCATGTTGTGGGTTCAAAACAAGCCTCCATGGCGTGTGTGCAGTCTGATCCAGTCCTGCTGCTACAATGTCATTAGCTAATGACTATTAGCTGGGGGAAAATAAAGAAAAAAATAAATATCCAGACTCATTTGCAAGTAGAGAGCCAATTCAGCTCCTGTTTTATATTCAGGTCAAACCAATCAGAGGTTACACTAGCAATCTATAAAGGTGGCACCCAAAAAGTAGCAAGACAACTCCATCAAAAGATCAACTTCTCCAACACAAGGTGCTGAAACATTGCCATGCAGAATTAGGCAGACTGTCAGTCAGTCTTGGGACTCAAAGAGTAAACAGGACATCAGATAAGGTAAGACTTATATCTTGGTAATTAATACTTTTGACTAGGGATTTTTTAATAAATTCTTGAATGTTTGGATCCCTGCAGTATGTGTGCTTTTGCCTTGGCAAGTATCCCACATTTGTAGTACAACACTCACAATACAATCATATATATCTCCCTAAATTTCTAAGTTGCTCCTTTTTTTATCTATGAACACGTTTCTCATCCAGCCAGGAGAGAGAAGCTTTTCACAGAAGCTGACTCCATCTACATGTGTTTCATTTTCTTTAACTTTGAGTATGCCCCCTTTTTTGTCTCTGTCCTACAAAAGGGGCTTGTGCCCAGTGAAGCATCATTTCAAATGAACACATGAAAACTTCCAATGGCAAGAAAATGATCAGAAATAATGACAAAGAAGTAAAGATCTTCCAGGTAAACTCCAAAACTTTCTGAAAGTTTTCATAAAAATAAGAGGTTCTCTGTTTTCATCCAAAAACACTTCAGCTATTGCAATTGAGACACAAAAGACTTCACTTCAAAATTTCTCCTAAACTAATGATTTTCTTAGAGTGCTTGCAATAAAAAATAAATAAATAAAAATTGTGTATATATATATATATATATATATATGTTTAGCTGAAAAGAAATTACCCAGAGAACCAACTTTGATGGGAAATATTCAAAAATATTCAACGGCCATACTAAGGATTTAATTCCTGCAAAAATCTTTAGTATCCCACCTTCCATTTGCTGAACTTGTCAGTTTTTTCTGACACCATTCATTCTGCTTTTTGTCTTGCCATTTTGTCCTCAAGTTTGCTCTAACTCACTTCATGGAATTGGTGGAAGACTTCACTCAGCTTACCCCAGCTTTCAGATGTTTTCCACAGGCAGCAACTGAGACTGTGACTCCTTGTCTCCCTCCCCAACTTCTCTGTGAATGTTGTGATCTGCTTTTTTTTTATTCAGTGCTTGCCCACAAAGAAGCCTCGTGTTGTTTCTCCCACCCTCTCTGGTTGTGCACTACTGCTGCAGTGGCTGCTCTGTGGGGCTCTCAGCTGGGCACCTCTCACCAGAGCTAAGTTCAGAGTAGTGCTGGCAGAGCTGGCCTGTGCCCTCTTTAGCCAAAGTTTGGCTCCTGATTGTTAAACCTTTAGTCAGGGAGGCTTTGATGCTAGGAATTAACTTGAAAGGGATTTGATAACCAAGGGCCATATTCGTGATGCAGAGCTTTCCATTGAAGAGCTTTCCCCCTCCCGAGCTTCTCCTGAATTTTGAGCAGATTCTCTGGTTGCCCTGGCAACAGCCTAATTTGTTCTCTTTTTGTGATTTAAGTAAGCATCATGTAAAAACTGTTCAATAAATGATGCTGAAACACCCTGAGTTTTGGTAGTGACATTGGGCAGCTTGCCACGTGGCTTAATTTAATTGCTCTGAAGCTAGCAGCAAGTGCATAATTCAAGATTTCATTTAGAACAAAAGCTCTTAAAAGTTTGGAAGGCTGCAAGAGGAAGAGGGGGGAGAAAAGAACAGCTGCCATTCTTCGAAAGTAAAGCATCTTCAGAAGCAGGAAGGTAAATTTGTTGGTTTTTGGCCCTTTTTGACCTGCCTTTGTAGCTGTGCTGGTACTCGAGCTTGATTTCACGGGAGCTGAACATTCAACCTCATGTTTTCTTGCTCTCTAAGGGAGGTGGGTTCCTGTAATGGGAAGAAAACTGGTTTATTCTTTCTGCCTGCTTAAGTCACGATGGAATGACATGACTGTTTCTAAGTGCAGCACGTGTGGACAGATATCAGCAATAGATTTGAATATTGCTGTGAAGGGTTATTAAAAAGTCTTGCTTGCTGACCTGAGCATTAGTGATGTCCCACTGAGCTCCTCCGCTTCAGGCATTGGACCCACAAGAAACCCTTCAAGTACACCAGGGACTCTGAGGTTCAACAAGGATAGTGGTGTCCACATTAGAGGTAGCTGCAGTGCTCTGTAACTCTTCAAATGAAAGCTTCATCTGGTGAAGAAGGACAATGTTCATTTGGGGGAAAACTACTTCTTGGGAAACAGATGTGCTGTAAGTTCTCGCTACAAACTTACAATTTACAAACTTACAAGAATTACAAAAAGAATTGCAAACTTACAAGAATTTCTGGTCTGGAAAAAAAAAAAAAAAAAAAAAAAAAAAAAAAAAAAAAAACAGTTTAGTCATTTGGTCTGGAGGAAAACTACCACTTCTTCAGTGTGGAGGTTTTTTTTTGGTGTGGGGATGCAGACTCCCACAGCTGGTGTGTGAAATCACAGTCCCTGGGTGATGCACATATGAGCCTTTCAGGGACTTGCATCCCTTGGTGTCTGGGATGACAGAGCAGTTGCTGAACAGAGAATATCGTGGTACAAGGCAGACTCTCCCATTTCCTTGTGATCTGCTCGTCTTGTCACTCCCTTGTGCAGAACAGTTTTATTCTTTTCACATGTCTTGCATTAAAGGAAAGATTCAAAGCGTTTGATGCACTGTGTGTGCCATCACTTTGCCTGGACAGAGATCTCTGTATCCTCTGAGATAGTAATGGCCATGCACCAGAGAAATACTGCACTGTAGGACGGTTACACAGCAATGAAAAGGGAATGCCATGGCTTTTGGGGGGTGAGGACAAGAGAAACAGAATGGGGAATACAAGTGAGAATACAATCTGAGGTCTCCTTTTCAGCAGCGACAGATTCTGGTTTCTTTACCCGCCTCTCTTTGATAAGAGAAAAGCCTGCCAGTGGGGATGAAGCCAGTGACACCGGAGCCTGCACATCCTTGTTGTTCCACTAAATTATTCATCCTGTTCCTGTGATAATATAGTTATAAGGAGGAGCCTAATTGAATTTACTGTCTGGCTTTGGCCAATAGGGCGATAAGGATCCAGCAGAATGGGATGACGGTGAATCCTGCCAGTGTGCTGTGAATGTGAAGCAGGAGGGACTGGCAGTTTGCGTGCAGGAGGGAAAGCGAACAGGTCCAGGGCCCCCGGATTAGCAGCCCAAGGAAAGGTAAGGGGGTGAGCGGGAATGGGGCTTGCCAGAATCTGACCCTGTGCCACAAAGGTGTTTTTGTTTAGAGGAAAGCACTCTGCAGGCACTGTTTTCCCGCAGGGCTTGGAGGGAAAGGGAATGTGTGTGGTAGCACTTGCTCAATGCATGAAGCGTGTGCCTTTGTCTTTATATGTGCTGCAGGGCTTTATCATATCGCGTGTTCATTATGCGTGTCTGCACGGAGATGCCTGTGTTTTATATGGATGCAGCAGCAACCTATGAAACCCATGCATTTAAAAACGCAGTGAGAGCAGCAAAAAGACAGCAATTACCTCATGGGGAGTCTGAAGAAAACAGCAGCGCTTTCTGGTTTGATTGAAAATGGAAATGCAGAAGCTCTTAGCAAGCTGCTTGCAATCAAAAAAGAGCAAGTGCATGAGCATCTGTCTGTGTATGTATTGAATCTGCAGTGAGATATGAAAATGGGAAAGAGGAGGTCAGACTGGAGTATTAGTCATGGCAGGTGGAGATAAGTGACAAGCAATCTGTGTAATCAGATTCTCTAACATGGAGTGAGAGTGCATGTGAGTACGGGTGTGGATTAATCCTATCTGCTGCTGAGCCACCTACACCTGGAAAGCAAGGTTGGGGGGATCAGGACAGGTTATGTGACTGTCTGGAAGAACCAATGATCAATCTGTCCTGTTTGCTGCGTGCTCGAGTGATTAGCTATTGAATTGTTTCCACAGATTTGCTACCTCCCTTTTAATCGTGCAAAGAGAGGCTGAGCATCTCTGAGGGTCAGGTTGAAGACCACGAATTAACATTATCTGGAAGAACAGAAGCACAGCAACTAAATTAGCCTCTGCTCTTCGTTATGTTTCTCTGCATTTGCGCTGATAACAAGTGACTGCTAAACAGGCAGAGCAGGTGGGGAAAGCTGGATTACGTGTGTGACAAGCTCCACTAAGCCATGCAGGCAGGGAACATTGTACCGAGGATGTTGCAGTCCCGCTCCCACAGCTTTCATCTTTAGCAGCAGGCTGGCCCGAGCTGGTGAACCTTAGCCCAGCCACCACCCAGAGCAGGGTCTGCAGCTTGCTTCCTATAGTCACAGGTTTAGCTGCTTTTTGTATGCCTTCATCACCTTGTTCTTTTAAAGCCAGGTTCCAAATGGAGGTGTTGTTAAGCCAGGGAGGAACTCAGCAGTGTAGCTCACCTGTGGGTGTCTTATCTCAGTTGGGAGCTCCTAGGGTGAGTGTTGAGGAAGGTTTGCTTTTTCAGCTTGCTCAGAAGGTGATAACCAGGAGCTCCCTCTGAAAAGAGCAGTAAGGCAGAGAGCACACAAAATGGTTCATCTTGTATTAACCCAACCCGTTCACTCTGAGGAAGATCTAACCTCAAGTAAGTCCTCCTCCTGCCCTGACACCGAATCTCTTACAGCAGGGGGTTAGCTTTCCCTTGCCAAAACTCCTTTCTCTTCACAGGTTTTCCCATGTGGCCCAAACATGGGAAAATACAAACGCAGTGGGTGTTCCCCCCCCAGGGAGTAGCTCCCTGTGCACCTTGCCCTGTGTCTGTGAGGGTCTGGGCAGAAGTCTCTGGGCTGTGTTGCCCTGGGGGGGGGTGCTCATCCTGAGCTCCACCATCTTGTTGCTTGTGTGCATGCCCCAGGTGAGAAGAAATGTGTCCTGCCTCTTAGTGTAGGTGCAAAAGGGCTCCACCTTACAGAGGATATTTGTATTTGCTGACAGAAATCCCATAGGGAATGTGGTGCGGCTTCTGGTAGGATGGGGCCGTGCTCTCTGCCTCACCTGAATTACAGGAGCCGACTGAAAAACAGGGCCAAAGGTACATACTGAAAGCTAGTGGGCTTTTTTGTCTCTTGATTTCTCTTGCCTCTTTCCCGTCCTTCAGTTCCCTTAAGCTAGCAGAAACATGGTCATACTTGAGTTTGCCTCCAACTTTCACAGCACATACAAGAATCAGCTGGGAAATGAACCAAAACATTCCTGGCCATCTGAAAATAAACTCCCTGGCAAAGCTGACTTCTCTCCCTTACCTCTGCCCTAGCAAAGGAGAGATAATGAAATAACTTGCTCATTCACACGCTCCTAAAGGGTCTGGAGCCTCCAGGTGCAGAGCAGAGTGTTCTCCTACCAAAAAGGGGGCTGTGCTGGAGACTCCATCTCTCCACCCTTCAGAGGAAGCCGTTTGCACCTGCCTGTTTTGGGATAACAGCATCTTCCTCAGGAGATGCACACGGGGTGTTGGGCAGGAGGAGCATCCCTCTGACAATGCTGCAGCGGCAGCCCGGCGTGCGCTTGCAGCGTTTAGCGCCGGTCGGGTGACCACATTGTCTGCCTCTGCCCTCGGAGTCAACAGCGAGGCTCGGAAATGGGCGAAACGCCAGCATATTCCCAGGGAGGCTGATGTCATTGCCAGCTTGCCGGTGCCAGAGACAGTGCTGGAAACCTGAGGTTGCTTTTGCCATTAATTGCCCGAGATGATTAATTCAGGCGATGATATCATTTTCCTGGGTGGAGGTTAGGAGGTTACGTACTCGAGTAATGAGGGGTGTGATGGGATGCCAAACTTGTGCTCTGCAGTGAGGTTAACACTAATTACAAGAAGCCAGCCACAGTATCCTCCAGATCATCCTTCTTCCCCTGGAAACAGCACCATTTTTCTTTTGCTCTCCCGTCTTGCTGTTCATGACTTTTCTTCTTTTATTATTTTTTTCTTCGTGTGATTAATGAGTTGCTCCTGTGGGATATGCAGTATTGCAAATTCTAACTGAAACACTCTGCTCTTAACTTCCACAGCTCTCGCCTAAGAAGGCTTGTTGCTTTAATTTTAACTTTTAATTAAAGCTTTTTTCACCTTGCAGATCTCATTCTATCTTCTAAGAATTCCTTGTATTTGTGTCATTTACACTGCACTATCTGGCAAATATGTATGTATATAATATATATATATATATTTCCCTTAAAAGTAATAAAGTAGCTTTGGTTCTTATTGCACAGTGACTAGTGTGCTGCATTGTTGCTCTCCCCTCAGAGGATGTTGCTCTGTCTATAGGTGTGTAGGATTGTTTTTCAATCACCCTGGAAATTCTCTAGAATTGGGTTTTGCAGTTAAACTCTATGATGTTTTACTGTTTCTGAACTTTCTAAGCTCGATATCTCTTTCCTGCCACATTGACAGCTAAGCAAATAAGTGCAGAATTCCCAGGTGGAAATCACGAATTGCTGCCTTGACCCAGATGCAATTATTAGCTGATAAAGGTGCAGCAACTCGATCTGATTACCCATCGGTAGGTGAAATTGCTAACTTCATATGTCAAAGAAAACATCCAGGGCATTTTCGGAGCTGTTGTAAGTGTTTCGTTTCAAACAACATCACTGCTCTGCCTCCTGTATTCCCTCCCTCCCCCCCCCGCCCCCCCATTCACTCCACTTTTTTTGTTCTCCCCTCTTTCCTCCATCTTTTTGGTTGGTCCCCAGAGGTTTTACACAGCCTTGCATTCTAAGTTTTCAGATAGACGTAGTAAGATCAAATGGAAACCTTCCAATTTCTAGATATGCTTGTTATCTGTGGGATAAAATGGTTTCCCTTCTGTTGAAGCAGTGGGGAAGCTGTGCTATCTCTCCATTCTGGATAATTTTACACTTCTTCCCATCCTTCATGGTTTGTTGTGTTTTTCTATCTCATCAAGAGATTAGAAAATGTCAAGGAATTTTTCATCAGTGCTGACAAACAGCAGAAATCTGATTAGCAATCGTTAACAGTTAGGCACAGCAGACTCATATATATTTATAATATGGTTGTCAAGGAAAATTAAGTGATTATGCAGATTTAACAATGTCTGTATTAATGGCTGTCAGGTTCCAGACACTCATCTATTGTCTGTTTAATGAGAAATAAGCTGTATGTGGCTGCACAGATCAAACACTAGAGCAGGGGTGCAGTATGACTTTGCTGCTGTTATCAGGGTGCCCTGGCCACAGGACAGGCGGTCCAGGGCATGTGCTTGCAATTGAGACCCTTCTCATAAAAGGAAGAAAATAAGGAGATGCCTTTCGTCAAGCAGTAGAAAGAGCCTGCAACGTGGCCTTTAGGGTGGAAATGATCTTTTGTCCTGGTGACAGGGCTCTGTTGTAAAGGACTGAGTTCTGCATTGCCCCCAGAGTGACCCCAAGAGGAAGAAAGGATCACCTGCTTTCCATGGTAGTTTGTGTACTTGTGGTGGGCTACCCCAGGAGGAAACAAAGCAGGTTGCAAGGGGTAAGAAAGACCTCTTTTCCAGGTTGGGAGTATTGCATTCAAATCACTTCTGTGAGAGCTGCAGTCATTTTTAAAGGGAAATTAAATTTGCTATAAACTGTCAGACTGGAATATAAAGAAGACAGACAGCTGCTGTACTGTTTGATATTCCAGCCTGAAGAACATTAGTGGCTTTATCTTCCTATGGACCAGAAGCAGGAGTCAGAGTTCATGTAAAAATGAGGAAAGGTGAAAGAACTGGAGAGAGAGGAGAATGAAGAGCTGTAGAAAGTGGGGGAAAAGGAGAGTGTATTTTTTTTTTTTAAGAAGGAAACTTCATTTTTGCCAGACATTGCGGTTTGGGGCTGATTTATTTCCTGCTCTCAGCAAGAACCATAGCCAACACTTCTTCACTGTATACTTGAACTGGGAAGCTTGGAGAAGCACCAGCTTCCTTATTTCATCTCACACACAGGAGCAAGAGCACACATAATAACTCCTTTTAAAGTATGGAAACCAATGTCTTCCACCAGGTCTCCATGGCTCAAAATAGTTCAACTCCCTCAAATGTAAAAAGAATGATCACTCAAGCCTTACATTTTAATTTACAATTTTGTTTTACCTTTAATTGGCAACAGCACAAACATGGAAGGAAATATATTCCAACTTGTTAATTCTAGGCCATTCAAACCACTAGGCTTTTTAAGAAAAGATTCTAATAAACACTTTTTGGTAGAGGCTATAGCTAAAAC